AATCAGACCTGAAAAGTTTGGAATCACTTGAATTTGATGTGAATCAGAGCTAAAAAGTTTGAAATCACTTGAATTGGATGTGAAACAGACCTGAAAAATTTAAAATCACTTGAATTTGATGTGAATCAGACCTGAAAAGTTTGAAATCACTTGAATTGGATGTGAATCAATCCTGAAAAGTTTGTAATCACTTGAATTTGAAGTGAATCAGAACTGAAAAGTATGAAATCACTTGAATTAGATGTGAATCAGACCTGAAAATTTTAGAATCACTTGAATTTGATGTGAATCAGAGCTGAAAAGTTTGAAATCAATTGAATTGGATGTGAATCAGACCTGAAAAGTTTGAAATCACTTGAATTGGATGTGAATTAATCCTGAAAAGTTTGTAATAACTTGAATTTGAAGTGAATCAGAGCTGAAAAGTATGAAATTACTTGAATTAGATGTGAATCAGACCTGAAAATTTTAGAATCACATGAATTTGATGTGAATCAGACCTGAAAAGTTTGAAGTCACTTGAATTGGATGTGAATCAGACCTGAAAAGTTTGAAATCACTTGAATTTGATGTGAGTCAGAGCTGAAAAGTTTGAAATCACTTGAATTTGATGTGAATCAGAGCTGAAAAGTTTGAAATCACTTGAATTGGATGTGAATCAGACCTGAAAAGTTTGTAATCACTTGAATCTGATGTGAATCAGAGCTGAAAAGTTTGAAATCACTTGAATTGGATGTGAATCAGACCTGAAAAGTTTAGAATAACATGAATTTGATGTGAATCAGACCTGAAAAGTTTGAAATCACTTGAATTGGGTGTGAATCAGACCTGAAAAGTTTGGAATCACTTGAATTTGATGTGAATCAGAGCTAAAAAGTTTGAAATCACTTGAATTGGATGTGAATCAGACCTGAAAAGTTTGGAATCACTTGAATTAGATGTGAATCAGAGCTGAAAAGTTTGAAATCACTTGAATTGGATGTGAATCAGACCTGAAAAATTTGGAATCACTTGAATTTGATGTGAATCAAAGCTGAAAAGTTTGAAATCACTTGAATTTGATGTGAATCAGACCTGAAAATCTACTAGATCAATAAATTTGAAATGATTTCTAGCTCGAAATGATTCAGTACTATCCATAGTGATATCTTACTTCTCTACCGGGAGCCATCTTTTTCTGCAACACTTTCATAGTCTAATTCTGACTTTCTGAATATTTACTACAATAATTTAACAGTGATACAGTGAATTTGTTCAAATTTAAGTAAAAAAAAAAAACTTTTCTTGGGTGATGCTAAACTTTTTTGGGGGTGATGCAATATTCAAACGAGTGTTGCAATACTTTTCCACGCGAGTCATCACTTATGACGGGTAGTGTATAGGATAGTTGAGGGCGACCCCGGCGTAGTGGTTAGCATTCATACCTCTCACGCCAAAGTCACGAGTTCAAATCTCACCCCCGGACAAGTCACGAATGACCCAAGAGCTATAACTAAACTATAGGAATAAACAGGTTCACAGTCCTTGAAAAATTGTTATGATCTTGGACATGGAATTTTTATTTTTAAAACCTGGACTCAACGATTTTTTTTTAAATTCCGGATTACAAGTCCAGAAAAAAGGACATCAATACAAATTCTTCAGCAACCGGGATTCGCATTTTTCTAATTTCTGCCGTTTGTAAAAGGGAATTTTTTTTTTATTTTATAATCTGGACAAATTTTGAAAATAACAGATTTGAATGTACGGAAAATATTGGTGATTCTGGCAACATCAATTGAACAGTTAACGTTGCTGTCCGTTCTTTCCAGACTTTACACACTGATTTAAAAAAAATCTTTTTAACACAAATGTGTTACTAAATCAAGCTGTGATTTGATACGGGGGTTTAAATGCAAATTGTTTACTCTCAACAATGGTCTTAAAAACGTAGCTTTAGTGACTACATTTTAACAAATAGTGACTTATAAGTCACTGACGAGCAAATAGTAACCTAGCCACTAAAAAAGTGACCTACTACCAGACCTGTCTTTGGGCACATAACATATGTGGAACTAGATCATCGAAAATCGATCCCATTTCAGTGATTTCAAGTGGTATAGAAAGACATCGATCTGTCAAATTGATTATACCAGCTGTAAAATGAAAAAGGGAATCAAGGGGGCAGTCAACTCTATTAAAATATGTATCTAGGATTTATGATTCTATGACTTTTAGCACTTCTGAGTTTATGTCTTTGTTTATCGTCTTTACGTCCTTTATTTATAACTATATAGCTGGATTTCACAAATTCATCACCTTGCTTCACACAGCAAAAATATATTAACGTTTGCATTTAAAAAAGCAGACATTTTTCGTCGATATTTTATGCAATGACCTGTCGCCCAACGATTAATCCTGAAATGTCATTGTAAGCTACCATATTTTAACTGTTTACAGCCCAGATTTCTGTAATTATGGCAGAAAAGTAAAGAAACTCTTTCTGTTAACTTAGAAAAAGTATGTATGTACCATGTTTTTTTCATTAACCTTCTTCTAATTGATTGGAACCAATTGCATCAACCTTTGATTTCCTTTTGATTCGTAGGAGGGAAAATACGACCACGAAAATTAGGAGTTTACTGCATACATACAGAAAAGCAGTAAAATTTTGCAACAAGTGGCACGGTTTATGCGGAAAGTATGCAGTTTTTTGGGGTGAGTTTCGTTCCATTCGCAAGAATTTCGCCAGCAGGACGATAAATCAAATCGAGCGCTTTGATACCCGTAATATCCATGGATTCAACTCTCCATATGTTTCCCAACTGCGACCAATTGATATTTTTGGCTCAAACACAAAGATCTACTCCAATTACTTTGTACTAAAACACGTGAAAAGATTGATCTTAATGGCCAAAGGCCTAAAACTGACACACTTACCCTAGTTTATTTCTAGCTTTTTAAGAAGAAAAAAAGATATTTTTAATGTAAACATAAATATCCATCCAGCAGTATATTTCGTGCTGCAATCATAACATTCATAAGTATACTTACTATAAGCGCAATGAACAATATTCCAACATACGAGAGACAAAAAATGTTTGTTTTATTACACCTATTCAACGCAATGATCAAATCTTGGAATTGTTTACATTTAATTACATCAAATTATCGTAATTTCCGTAATGAATCCAACCCGGTTGAAGAGACGAAGAAAAATTACATCTTTAAATAGGCAATATTACTGATTAATAACGGACTTGGTTGGTTTCTGATCGCCTTGAAAATACTAGTTAAAACATCCTTTGATAAGCGCCCTGTAGAGCTATTTGAACAAATAATAGCCGTATTACCTTGACAATATACAAATCGCTTTTTCGGCCACTTTGTAACTCTTTACTCCTATGGTAAATTCCCACCATCAAACGTCAGTCTGTGCGTGAAACATGGTGAACATTTCCTTTCCATTTCAGTCCTATGAAAATCCCATAAGATACTGTCAAGCTTTGCGTGAAGAAAAGGCGAAGTGAATAGATAGACAAAGCACCGACAAACCGACAAAAATGACCATAGCTAAAACAGTTAAGCCATGAACCCGCATGCAAAAGTTATGAATTGGTTCGTGTCTGATCTATGATGTACAAATTCATTTTATCTAGACCAAAAAATCCTATAGTTTTGACAGATCGGATCACTGCACATTTAAATCGGCCGTTTACGATTTTCGGGCGTAAGCCAGAATTAAGTGTCAAGTCGGTTTGTCGGTGGACAAAGTCGGCTAGATTTCATGCACAGATTGTCAGATGGTTATGGGATTTTACCATAGGAGTAAAGAGTTGAAGAGTTATCGTCGGCGTTAATGGTTACTGAGCCAGCAACCATATATCTGCTTTTCTTTCATAAGAGCAAATGTCGGAAACGTAAACAATGACTTTTTCCGCGAATTTCTCCAGGATAAAAAAAAACCACTTAAGTGAACCATGATTGTGTAGAGGGAAAGTTCCCCTATCCGATAGAATTAATTGCTGACATGGATTAATTTTGAAATACGAGAAATTTACGAAAGAAGCCATTGTTTATGGTTTTGACATTGGTACTTGTGAACGCTGAAAATTTTATTTTGACAGATCGATGGCCAACTATACCAGTTATACCACTGTGGCGGGGTCAACTTTTAGTCAGTTATTTTGCATGAAGTTCCACATATGTTATGTGCTTTGGGGCTCTCGATATACCACGTGGATATTTAAGAGAGGAAGGGGGATTATCCTTGGTTCGCACTAAGATTTTAAAAATGGTGTGGATAATTGTCCATTCAGGTCTAAAGCTTTTCAAAAACTGTTCACGAGGTATATGGACAGAACCTTTCTATTTACTCAGCATTCACGTATCTCACGAAAGCAAAACAAAATCTTGGGTAGTCGTCTTTTTTTCCTTGATTTGTTTTCCGTCGACCTTGTTCAATGCTGCCGACGCCAGGGAGGCAGCTCCCACACCTGGACCCTACCTATCGACCCATCATCAACTCATGAACCGGGGACCAACGACTTTACTTCCCTTCCGAAGCAAGGCGTGATCAGAGATGTTATACCTCAGAACATCCCGGCGACGCCGACTGGAATTGAACCCTGGTCTGTTGGGGTTAGAAGTAATCACGCTACCACTACACTACCGGTGCTGTTGGGTAGAGGCGTCGTCCTTTCATAAACCGCATTTGTAGCACTTGCTGCACGAACATGAGCACGATTGATCACCCGCGGTCGCTTCTCCATCATTGTCAGCTTAACTATCACTTCGAACTATAACAGACACGTATTTCGATTACTAGGTACTTGCAAACTTCTTCTAGTCTATGGCTAGACATGGCAAAATTGTGGTACGCTAGAACATTCTATTTTGTATACATATAACCCATCTCTATGTAGAGTGAGGAGAGGTTTTAATAACGCGCCAAACGATTCAGTTTCAAACGATGGAATGTATCTTTCAATATCGAAAAAGGGAAGATAGAGGGGTTTGAATACATTTTTAAGGCATCAAGCAGGTTTATTACTTCAATGATTGAATATGTTCTATTTTCATGGTAGAATGATTAGATAATCTGGTTAAATTTCAGTAATTTAGTTGCATTACAATAAATCGACGTCGATGAGCTGTTTGACAATTTGTTCTTCTAGTTAAATGCCAACTCTAACGCCATTCAACAAATGCCACGCTCAGAAATAAAATGCTCAAACAGCTCACCAATAAACTTAATCAATCGATTCCGACAATAGTGAGATTGTCCAGACGACAACCTCGTTTATGAGGGCGAAACAATAGAATGCGCATAACTCAGTCTACAACAACCATGTACCTAATAAACTGCAATAACAATATCGAACTAACTACCATAGGGAGCGCGCGCCTTTCCTTGATTTTCCAACACAAACATGACCATACTCTACTGATGCTGCTGCTGTTGATATTATCTGAAGAATATTGCATGATGTGTACCTTCGTTCTAATATAGCTGAAAATTGATTCTAAAGCTAGCCTTAATACACTTCTTTCATATGCTATTATATCCAGATGCCTGTTTCAATGCTACACAACAGTAACCATTCCAACAATAGGAATGAAAAACCGAATAAAAAGACAACTGCACTCACTTGATGGTTTGGAGGTGGAAGGCAGAGTAAATTGAAAGTAACATAATGGCGACCGAACTCAATTCAATTAGAATGCACTTGATAGACGCACACGATCCTCGGGTGTTTGTTGTTTCCTTTCCATTGCAACAAAAACCCACAAACTGTACATGCACTAGGTACCTACTGAGGACGACGCAAACGAAAATAAACTAAAACCGACCGACGAGAGAGGATAATAAAAAAAAAACCCGTTAAAATAATAAAATTTAATTAAAAGCTATCTGACTGACTGACTCGGTATTGTATGTTTTGTTACGCGAAGCGAGGGACGACACACTTGCAATCATCTCCCGACTGAATGTGCGATGGAAATGTGATTTGGATTGCGCTGGAGATGGCACTCCCAATTACTCAAATTGACTGTGTGCTGGGGTGGAGTGCTTTCTTGCAAGCAATCCTTGATGTTCAATCGAATTACAAGTGCAAAGCAATTCCATTAGTTACGACTTGGTTCAATTTGATTTCAAGCAAACGATGCTTGGCACATAGGAACCTTGCATCACAATTTAGGACACACAATCCAAAACCCACCACGCAGCCGCCCCCGCTTCTTAGTACTTATTGAACGCAAATCTCCAACGCTGCATAGCAATACCCTCGTTTCCGCTTGGTTAAATCAACAGCTCATTCTGTTATAAATCCGTCGAGTCGGATGATTTAGGCCGCCCAACCGGTGGTGGCGGAGCCGGAACCTGTGGTCGCTTGATTTTTGCCTGGTCAAAACCACGAGGCGATTGCGGTACATGCTGAAGACTAGTTGTTATTGTTGTTGCGTTATTCGTCGATTCGACCGTCAGTTCTGCGGGAACAACCGTACTCGTCGGCGATTGGATGTCACTTCCGAGCGATCCGGTCGATTCCATCATTGCCAACGGGGGGACACCTTCCGGTACCGTGGCCACCAGCGTTGACGGTTTGTCCTTGGTTCGAGTTTTCTCATCGGCAACATCGATAATCGCTACCTGTTGTTTGTCGATGTTGTACATTTGGGTCCGCTCGAGGACAGTTGAGCCGCTTTCCTTGCTCGTCCCGGAACTGGTTTCGCCTCGGAAGCTTTGAGCTTTTTTGATCGAGGTACCCGAGCTGATTAGCGTGTTGGTTCCTTCGCTGACTTTGGATATCTCCGGAATGGAACCCTTGAAGCTTAGTGGCCTAAACAGAATAGCAGGTCGCTCGGGAATGACTGGCTTTTCGCGGATTGCCGAAAGCAACACGGAACTGCTATCGTCATCGGTGCTGTTTGAGTGTGGACCCGGGCCCGTTGGGGTGGGCGTCTTTACCAACGTAGTCCTCGGCAGGGCCACCGGTTTGATCGGCAGGGGAAACGTAGGACGATGGTGGTTTTCCTTATTCTCTTTATTACTGTAACGATAAGAGGGAAATGGAAACAATTTATTAATTGGGTTCTTGAAAAGGAATCTTGAATTGCTTTTGTGTGTGTTTGGTTTCAATACATAAAAAAACGGAAATGATTCAAATAGTTTAAACAGGTTAAAACAGCAATATTTGGAAACGACATGAATCTCATGAGGCTGTTCCAGAATTATTTTAAGGACTTCCATGAAAGTACCTTATCTTTATTTATAAATGTAGACATTTTTGATGAGCCTACATAATTCTTATTGATGACCTGTCCCCCATACACCCTCATGGCCATGAATTACGCTTTTACATGTCTTTAGAATCATGTTCAGAGGACTTCTGTGGTAGGCGTGGCGAGCGTCAGGCATGGCATGTCCCTATGTCTACCGGTAGATTAGACAATACATAAAACAGTAGTCGACCTGAGCACTTCACTATATAGCATGGATAAACGAACATTCGGGGCAACAGTATTCGCGGTATAAGACCAAATTTATTTATTACAAACCATGAGCCTTTTCATTTTTGCAAGACCCTTAACCTTCTCCTTCCCTCAGCACAGGTGATTCACAACTTTTCGGCCCATCGCATGTTTGTCAATCTACCAGTCAGTACTTATTTAAGCTTCTCCGAGTGCTCATTATTCTCGTCCATATATGTTCTTAAGAATTCAACTGAGCAACTATTAAAAAACAATTAAAATACTATTGATTTTAAACAAACACCTTTTTAACGGGTTCAATCATTCTAAGGAAAAACTTTTTGTTCAAGTACTTTTTTTCAAAAACATATAGGGGAAATGGCTCTAATGTTGGCCATCTAAGATTGGGCCCATCGCTAAAAATCTGCTATTTATCAATTTCATCTTGATAAACGCGTCATTGGGGCGATACTAATGGATATTTTTGGTCGCTATTGAATATTTAGTCGATTGCTGAATTTATGTATGGGCCCAAATTAGGGGTATTTAGGCCGACATTACATCCATTTCTCCTATTTGTAGTTCAAAACAACGAAACCCTTCTGAGAAGGAATCGTGTTTTGTTTTCGAACCTGGGATCGTGGAAAATGTCAGGAATTTTGAAAATGTATCTTCGTTCCAAGTTCGTTAAAATGTCTCCAATCATGATTATTGTTTAGATCGGAGTTTCAAAAACTTGTCTAAGTTTGAAAGCTGTAAAAAATATCCATATTCCAGAACCTGAAAATAAAAACAATTCAATTTTAAAAATTAATATTGTTACTGAATATAAACCCGCTCTGAAACTAGCCAGTTCAAAATAAACTTCCGATTGCAGTTGAAAAAGCTCCTGGAGAAGATGGAAATTGAAAGGAACCTCCTGAATGAGATCGGAGCAAATTTTAAGGACCAGTCGACATTGGCGTAGTTACTGGCCAGGCCCCCTCCAGAATTAGAATTATCTAGCCCCCCTAGAACTTTTGGTGTTTTTTTTATTCACCAGTATTTTATCAAGCTTGTAAACTTTGATGTTACTATTTTTTAAGTCCTTTATGTTGACTTCTTTTCCTACGTTCTGGACTAGAAGAAGCAATTTTGTAAAATTATATTATATCGATATTTAAACGATGGCATAATAAGACCTCTACAGGCTCTAGAAATTGGTAATGAGCCCAGGGATTTTTCTTTAACTTCTGGGAACTTTGTAAAACTTCAAGGACTACTAAGAAGTTCAGGGAACATCGTAGAAATTGAGGAAACTTATTAGAAGTTTTGGGAACTATATAGATCTCCAGAAAAAATCGTAGAAACAAGAAACTTGGAAATGTTCTGAATACTGCGTAAAAGTGGAAAATTTATTTGAGTTTGAGAAGTTTCGTAGAAGCTAAGGGAACATTATTTTATTTCAGGGAAGCTCATTATTAATCAGGAACCTCTACATAATTTCAGGGCACTTTTTTGAAGCCTCATGTTCTTGGAATAGTTCTGGATATTACGTACAAATGCAAGAATATTTCGTTCCTGGAAATTCACGGAAAATCATCGAGAAACATAGAAGTACAACAAAGTTTGTAGAAGTTTGCGAATTTCGTAGCATTTTGAGGAGCTGCGTAAAACTTCATATAAGTGTAAGGAATTATTAAAAAGTTCAGGGAATTTTGTAGAAGATCTAAAGATAGTTCAACAAACTTCTAGGAGATCTTAATTCGAAAAAGCTCCATGAACTTCTTGGGGTTTTGAGATAAGTTTAGTTAAATTTCAAGGAACTTTCCAGATGTTCAAGAATATTTGTAGATGACAGGTGCCTTTTCGGAAATGCAAAGTTGTTCAGAGATCTTCGTAGAAATAAGAGAGATTGACAAAATTAAGAATTTGGAATAAATTCAGGGAACTTCGTAGAAATTGAGGAAATTTAGTAAAACTTGAGGGAGTGTTGTAAAGGGCGAACACGAAATTATTGCGACACATTCAACAGGGCATAACTTTTTTACCATTGGGTAAAAATCAACCAAATTTTGCACACTTTCTCATTTATGTGTATTGTGTACATGCTGTCAAACTCGAAGTCGTGTTTTTCGATTCAACAAAAATGGAGGTGAACCAACGCGAGTTGAGAGAACAAATTCTTTACAAACACCTGGAATTTCCTGACCTGTCGCACCGGCAGTTGGGAAAAATGTTGAACATTCACCATTCAACCGTCTCCAGAGTGTTGAAGCGGTTCCAGGAGCGGTTGACGTTGGACCACGGCAAAGGAGCTGGAAGAAAACTGGGACCGGAGAACAAAAAGACGGAGGGAAAGGTGAAGCGGATGATTAAAGCAAATCCCAACGTCTCAAGCCTTGATTTGGCTAAAAAGATCGGCATGTCGCAGAGCTACGTCCAGAATGCAAAGAAGAGAGCTGGATACATACAAGGTACAGAACTTCCCAAACCGCGATGAGCGGCAACAATCGACGGCTAAAACTCGGGCACGGAAGCTCTACGAGAAGATGCTGACAAAATATGGCTGCTGTGTGATGGACGTATAATAAAAGCCGATTTTAAGCAAATTTCGGGGTTGGAGTTTTTCACCGGCAAGAGCAAGTTCGATGTGGACGACAAATTTAAGAAGAAGAAAATGTCGAAGTTCGCCTCCAACTATCTCATTTGGCAGGCCATCTGCTCTTGCGGACTGAGGAGTGAGCCTTTCGTGACAAAGGGCACAGTAAATGGCAAGATCTACAAATCTGAGTGCCTCGAGAAGCGCCTTTTGCCGTTCTTGCAGCAGCACGACGAAGCTCCGCTATTTTGGCCAGATTTGGCATCATGCCACTATTCTAAAAGTGTCCTGGAGTGGTATGAGGCCAATTCTGTCCATTTTGTTCCAAAGGACATGAATCCGCCAAACTGTCCGGAGCTGCGCCCGGTGGAGCAGTACTGGGCAATAATGAAGCGGGAACTTCGGAAGAGCAAGAAGACAGTCAAAGACGAGAAGGACATGTTAAGAAAATGGAAAAAAAAACTGAGAAACTGGTACCGGATGACACTGTAAAGACTTTGATGGAGGGCATCAAGCGAAAATGCGTTCAATTTTACACTCAAGGCTCCATCGATTAACTTTTCTTTTGATTTTTTAAGTAAATATATGTATAAAACTACCCTAAAATTTTGGTTTGATTCTAAACATTATAAGAAAATTGGCATGACATTTTCGGTGTCGCAATAATTTCGTGTTCGCCCTTTAGACGTTTAGGAAACGTTACATAAGATACAGTAAATTCTTTCAGACATCCTTCCTAGAAAGCAGGAAAAATTCAAAAGATCTCCATATAGACAAATATATAAGTAAAGTTCTCTGGACATTTTTCCAAGACTTCAAGTTGATCAAGCTCTGAGGATCTCCAACTGTTTAAAAATGCAAGGTTCTTTCAAGATTGTAAGGTTGTTCAGGAAGTACCGTAATCCGGGGGAAAATTTATCACTGGGGTGAAATTGATCATAATGTGTTGCACTTTTAATTGTCACGTATAACATGGTCGGTGATAGATATCAAGAGAAATATTAAAAGTGTCTTTTCCCAACAAAAAAGAAAATTTATTGCATATATTTAAATTTTATAGATCTGACGTGAAGTAGCATATAATATCAACATCCAACCAAACGATCATAGGACTGCAACTATTGATGAGATAACCATTCAAGTATCATGTTTTACTAAACTAAGTGTCAACGAATCTGAATCGGATTCAGCGAACCCACATTTCATAAGAACAATTACTAGAAATGCACTGGGAAGCCATTTGAGGGGTTGATCAATTTCACCCCATATCGATATTTTCAAATTTAAGATTTCAAAAATTTCCTAAAAATTAACAAAACATCCAATATTATAAGAAATCATGCAGAACGATGGAGGCCTCTTAGCTACTGATTTAAATACCATTAGTTTTTCAATATTTAGTATTGTAGAAATTTATTTATTTACGTTAAATAGTGATCAATTTATCCCCGGATTACGGTATTCAAAAGTTTTCCAGGTAATTGAGTTTTGAATGATGAATCTAGATTTTATGGACATGTTTGTACATTCTCTACAGGAAGACCCGTGCCTTGGTGAATTAGCTAAATTGTCAAGAATTAGCACTCCAGCAGCTAAATTCTGGGAATAAATTTTAACGAAAAGTGGAAATTTCCACACGCAAAAAAAACCGTTCCGGTATTCGTGAACAACAAATCACGAAAGCATGAACTGCTAGTTCGTTTGAATTCATAACTTAGTTCCCGTAAACGTGATCGAGTGAATAACATTTTCATGAAATAAATCCCAAATCCATGAACTTACGTCACGCCTGTTCAGCGCGACCATCGATTTCATAACGCTACAGAAAACACAAAGTAAAATCATGATTTCGTGATTATGAACCCATAAGTGTGATTTTCGTTCCTGAAATCGTGAACTTGGATCACATGCAAAGCTGCAGCTGTCATTTTCAGTTGTTGGTGATTTTATCCTTATAGAGTGCTCGGATCCGTCGAGCATAGTGGCTCGATTATTAGT